GCGGCGGGAGCGGGGCCTGACGGCGCTGAAGGGAGCCCTCAAGGAGGAGGTGGCCAGCCACGACAAGGAGCTCGACCGTGTCCGGCAGCAGTACCAAAACGACATGGATCAGCTGCGGCGCAGCATGGAGGACATCTCGCAGGTCTGGCCGTGAGGAGGGCTGCTGGGGAGGGACGGGGGACTGGGTCTTGCTGGCTGTGGCTGGGGAGGGTCTTTGCTTGGAGTTGGTGTCCTTGAATTCCTCTTTTTAAATGGTCCTGAGCTGGAAATGGGGTTTGTGTCCTGCCCCAGACTCACCCCATTGGAGCACCCGTCTGCCCCGGCTCTCGCCGCCCCGGGGCGGAGATGCTGGGGGGTGAGCGGAGCCTGTTTGCGGAGGTGTGGGGACCCCCCGGTCCCCTGCGTGGGTTCTCTGGGCTGGTTCAGGGGGCATTAACTGGGGCAGGACCTCAGCATTGTTGGAGCATCCCGTGAGGATGCCGCTCTGCGGGCGAGCGCTCAACACTTCGATCCAGGATCAGGCCAACCTGGAATCGGAGAGGCAGAAGATCAGCACCGTGGTGAGGAACCTGCAGCGGGAGCTGGAGGAGAGCACAGAGGAGACGGGGCACTGGCGGGACATGTTCCAGAAGAACAAGGACGAGCTCCGTAACACCAAGCAGGAGTAAGTGCCGGGGCTGCGGCTGAGCTGGAGGCACAAGCAGCTTTCGGGGGAGATCCAGCTGCCCGTGACCATCCAGCATCTTTCCTCCAAACCCCGTTAAAATGGGTTGGGAGCTGGGATGGGGCTGGTTCTCCTCCTCCTCCCCTGGGCATGCAGGGAGGAAGGCGATGGCCGAGCCGGGTGCCGCTCTCCAGGCACGCTGGGACCTGGGAACGGGGGTGTGGGACAGGAGGGCACAGGGATGGGTTTGGGTGGCCTCATCCTGCCCCTCTCCAGGCTGCTGCAGGTGAAGCTGGAGCGGGAGGAGTTTGAAGAGGAGCTGCGGGAGCTGCGGGAGCGCTTTGCGGCCGCCCGGGAGGAGGCAGACCAGGCGCGGAGCAGCGCGCTGGACCCCGGCGAGCTGGAGTCACTCAGGAAGGTGGGTGATGAGGGAGGAGGCCCACGCAGCGCCGGGGACCGCGCCAAGGGTCCCTGACCACCGTCCCCTCCATCCCAGGAGCTGCGGCAGGCACGGGAGGCGCAGCGGGAGCTGGCGCTGGAGAAGCAGAGCCAGGAGGGGCTGCTGCAGCAGCGGG